AACTGGCCAGTAGGAGCTCAAGGTCTTCATACAGCAGGCTCTTCAAACTGCCACAAGGACCAGCCTGAGAACCTGGCCTCTCTGCCCTTGTTCTACATCCGCCTCCTTTATTCTGGGCCGGGCTGCTGCTTGGCTCTGGATAAGCATGTTAGTCATAAGGAGTGCTGGTCTGCACACCTATCTCATCCCCGTCAAGGCTGAAGATACCAAGACACTAGTAACTAAGACAATTTACGGTCAGCTTTTACAACGTTCCGTTCCAGACCCCACAGGCATCCTCGGGTCTCCAGTCACTGTCCTAAAGCTGCAGTCACCCTTGGATTCCAGGAACAGCAGAGCTTCGTGGAGCTGACCATGCCCCAAGAGAACAGCTGTCTCCAAGTTGCTGCACCCAGGGGGCAGGTCACCCCAAGGAACCAAGTTAAGCTTACCTGACCCCATTGCAGGACCCAAGCTGACACAATGATGACCAGAAGCACACCTCCAGCAGAGCTGCTTAATTACGCAACCTCTTGTACCCCATTCTTTCTCTACTTAAACCAAAAGCTCCTGCAAACACCCCGAGGTGACCGTGAGGTGGCTGGACCTCCCCCTGTACCCTCCCCAGTGTACTATCGTTCCATCCTGTCTCTGTCTCCGACCCTTATTCCTGTGTCTCACTGGATACTGGGGAGAGAGGCTGTGCTGGTGAGTGTTGGTCAGTGTGACACAAGCCACAGTCCCTCGGGAGAAGGGAACCTAAACTGAGGAAATGCCTCCATCAGATTTGTCTGTGGCCAGGTCTGTGGAACATTTTCTTGATTGTTGACTGATGCAAGCAGGCCCAGCCCACTGCGAGTGGTACAGTCCCTGGGCAGGAGGTCCTGGGTTCTGTAAGAAAGCAGGCTGAGTAAGCCAATAACCCACATGCCTCCATGTTCCTGCTTGATTCCTAGCCTGACTTCCCTCAATGATGGAGGATCGGCTATCATCAGGGGGTGCAAGCAAAACACGTCCCCCCCTAAGTTATGTTTGGTTGGTCGTGTGTTCATCACAGCAAAGAGAGCAAACCAGGAGAGTGGCCAAGCCTCGCTGGCTGGGGCTTCTGCCTTAAAGCTCTGGGCACAATAATTCACCCAAAGGAAAGCAGAAAATAAGAAAAGAAGAAAGAATAAGCTGAGAGCTAAGTCCTCCAGCTGAGTCAGCTCCCTGCTGGGGTAACTATGCTTTGGTATCTACAGCTATTAAGACTGGCAGGCTGGGGGTGTGGCTCAGCTGCTAGCTTGCTTGCCTAGCATATATAAAGCCCTGGGTTCAATCCCCAGCACCACATAAACTGGATATGACGGTGCACATATGCAATCCCAGCACTTCAGAAGATAGAGACAGGAGGAGAAGGAAGTCAAGGCCATATTCGACTATTCAGTGAGTTCAAGGGCAGCCCAAGATCTACGAGACCCTGCATCACATAAACAAAAGCCTGGAAGTGGAATCCTTGTTTTCATATACCAGTGTCTTCTACTGAGCTTTGAATTGGGAATGTCTTTGCAGGCTCCATGTTGTTCACTTGATCTCCAACAAGTGGCACTGTTTGGGGAGGTTCTGCAAACTTTAAGAGGTGGAGCTTAGTTGGAGGAAAAAGGTCACTGGGGTTGTTTGTGCCTTTGAAGATTATACCAGGTCCCCAGGTCACAGGCAGTGAAGACTACTCCTAACACACGTTCCCACCCCCATCATGTCCTACTCAAGCCCATGGTGCTCAGCAGCCATGCAGTGACCCTGCAAAGCATCGAGAAAAAAGAAATCCTGCCTCCCTTGGTGACCAAAGAAGTACCCCCTACAATAACACAGCACCAAAACAGGTAAGGCAAAAGCTAATGAAATGATAGAAACCAACAGAAAGGTGTGCTGCTGCCAGGTTCGGCAGTGTGCACCTGCAGCCCAGGGAGACGGTGGGTCTGAGGCCAACCAGGGCCACACAGTGACCCCGACTTAAACAACAGGGCTGGGGAGTGGCGTGGGGGTGGGGGACCTGAGGTACCCCCAAACCAACAGGGAAAGAAATGCAACGTCAATGAGAAGGTAACAAATCACTTGGTCCTTCTGGGGCTGCTGGCCAGCAACCATGAGCAACAGAGGCTAAGGGGTGAGGATACAGATCTGCACATGTTCTACCTTGATCATATGCTTAATGACATGACTAAGTTTTCATTATGTGCTGTTCCAAGTAACTATGACACAGTTAGCTATAGAATAAACAATTAATAGTTTATAGGTTCACACACACACACAGAGTCCATAAGTGAGTGGATGAATGTAATAAAAAGGTTAAAGGGCCAGTGAGATGGCTCAGTGGACAAAGGCCCTTGCCTGATGACCTGAGTTGGATCCCTGGCGTCTACATGGCTGAAGGAGAGAACTAGTTCCCATTAGTCGTCTTCTGGCCTCCACGTGCGCCCAGAGGTTTGTCAGTTCCCCTTGCTATCCTAACAACCTCAACTGCTGAGAAATACTGAGGTAGCCTCTGTAGGTCAGGATCTGCATGGGTCCAGGATGGTGGCTGCCCCCGGAGCTCACTGATGACAGTAGAATTAATTTCCTTCTCGAATTTCCAGGGGACCCCCAGTCTTCAAGCCAGTGGTGGTATGTTCGATCCTTCCCTTGTCCTGCCTTTCTCTGACTTCCTCTTCTATTCTCAAGGCTTTGAGGGCTCAGAGGATTATTTTGGGCTCGTTGTATAGTCCAGGATAACCCTGTTCTTTTTTCATTTAATTTTTAAATGTGTGTGTGTGTGTGTGTGTGTGTGTGTAAATCCTGTCTAAAGTATAATGACAAAATAATTTTTTCTCTAGTCTATAGGTTGTCTCTTAGCTTTGTTGTGCAGAACTTTTTTTTGAGACCGTTATGTGTAGCTGAAGTTTTCCTGTGTCCTTGTGTTTCCACAGCTGCTCAGACCCAAATAAATACACACAGGCTAATATTATTTAAAACTGCTTGGCCATTAGCTCAGGCCTACCACTAACTAGCTCTTACACTTAAACTCAGCCCATTTCTGTTAATCTAGATGTTGCCAGTGTTCCATGGCTTTAGTTATATGCCTGTTACATGCTGCTCCCTGGATGGTGGGCTGGCATCTCCTGACTCAGCTTTCCTCTTCCCACAATTCTCTTCTCTGTTTGTCCTGCCTATACTTCCTGCCTGGCTACTGGCCAATCAGCATTTTATTTATACAGAGCGATATCCACAGCAGTTATGTAGCCTTAGCTGGCCTGGAACTCACTATGTAGACCAGGTTTGCCTCAAATTCACAGAGATGCAACTGTTTCTGCCTCCTGAGTGCAGGAAATAAAGATGTACACACCATGCCCAGCCTGTGTAGAGACTTTTAATTCAATGTGAAAAAAAGGAACATGTACTCACTGCTAGAGGGACTGTAAACTAGTGTAGCCATTATGGAGATCAGTATAGAGGTTTCTCAAAAAATTAAAACTATCTTCCACATGGCCCAGATATACCAGTACTAGGCATATGCCCAAAGGACTCTGTATCCTACCACAGAGATACATGTACATCCATGTCTACCGCTACTCTATTCACAATACCAATGAAACCAGCATAGACGTCCATCAACTGATGAGTGGGTAATAAAAATGTGGTACACAGATACAACAAATAAAAGGGAAATGAGATTATGAAATTCTCAGGAAAAGGGATCAATTGGTTAAGCAAATAAAAGGGGAATATGATTATGAAATTCTCAGGAAAATGGATGAATTGGTTAAGCGAGTGACACAGATTCAGAAAGATAAAAATCACAAGTTCTCATCCAGCTTCAGATTCTACCTTCAATGATCATGTGTGTGAATGTAAGTGGATGCGGGGAAGGGTGTTGGGGAAGGGTGGGGCAGGGCACAAGGGACCTGAAAGTGGAAAGGAGGCTGTAGAGGACAAATGAGGCAGGGGGATGGGAGAGAAGAGTCAGGAAGGAGAAGCAACAAAAATTGTGTTGCAGATGACACAATAAAATGTAACCGTTTGCATGCTAATTGATTAGATGGTAAAGGAGGGGTAAGCATTAAGACTGAAAGAAAAGAGGCAAAGGTAAGTATTAGTAGATTGGGCACCATCACCTCCACCTGGAAACCTGGAGAGCCACAAGTGCAAACACTCGGAGAAAGTTCTGGAAGGGGGCTAGAGAACAAATTAAAAAGCAAGAAACAGTGCCTTCCCTGTTCTCTTAAAAACACAACAAAAAACGTGGAAAAGTAAAACATACACAACCAACTCATCTTGACATCTCTAGCAACAAGAACAAACAATGTCCCATCTAGAAATGGGCTTAGAATTTAGAGTGTACACCCCAAGAGAGCACTGGACCCGTCTCCAGTGTGCTAGGGTACAGATGATCAGCTGATAAGTCAAGGCAATCCCACCTAGAATTCCCATGTCAGCTCCCCCTCTGCACATACAAATACACGCCACCTTGTACAATACATCCAGCCCAGTAAAGTGCAGTAAGAGAGGGCCATGCCCTATACTGTGTTGAAATATGTCACCAAACTAAAGTGGCTAGGGCTGGCAAGATGGCGTGGCATAAACCTGGCCGCCTGAGTTTGCTCTCCAGAACCCACATAAAGGTAGAAAGAGAATCAGCAAGACACACGTGCACATGCACATGCGCACACACACAACCTCAAGTGGCTCACTAGTGTGGTAGTGTTGGAGAAACAGACATGGGAAACAGAAAGTTCAGAGGTGGACCTGAGAATGTCAAAGGCCAGGTCATGCACATGGACAGAGCCAGAACATCATTAACTAGAACTCAAACCCACAACCTGCAGCAGGATTTGAAACTTAGCCTGACTCTGAGTTCCGGGCAAACGGAGTGGGATGCATGGGGATGGGATGACACCTCTACTTTGGTGCACTAGAAATGATTGATGGCACACCACCATCACCTGAGTCCCCGGTAGGAAGAAGATTGCCACGGCCTCGGGAGGGTCCCTGGGGAAGCAGCTCACCTGTTGGGACTGTAGCCCATAGAGGTCAGCATCCGTGCCTGGTCCAGGTCTCTTGGGAAGCCATGCAGCACCCACCCTTTCTGGATGCAGTCTTGTTTGCTCAGACGCTCGGCCAGAGCCTTGGTGATGATGCTGTCTGGCACTGCAGAGGAAGAAGAATAAGAGAGCATTCTGTAGCCCACAGCTTTCTAGCCTTCCTGGGCCACATGCTGAGCTGCTGCAGAGGAAGTCAATTGGAACCACCTGGACAAGGTCCCCCTGTGGTCCAGCAACAAGTGTGGCAGGAACAGCAGAACTGCCTGAGATGGGCAATGCATTGGGTCGTCTTGGCCTTCATACCTTACAAGACACCATCCTCCATCTGGCTCTTTATGGCAGCTAAAGCAAGGCACCATGAACTGAGAAGCACAGCAGTGTTTAGCCCTTAGATCTGGAGGCTAAGAGGCAAAGTTTAGGGCCGACCGCTGTCTGGGGAGGGCCAAATGCTTTCTAGCTTACAGGCTCCCTGCTGGAACTGGAGTCACAGATGGTTTAAGTTAACATGTGGGTGCTAGGAACTGAACCTGGGTCCCGGGCAAGAGCAGCCAGTGTTCTGAACTGCTGACATCTCTCCAGCCCTGACCTCTCTTTTAAGGGATGCGTGTGGAGGTCAGAATTGAATTTTATGGAGTCGTATCTTTCCTTACACCATTGTGTGGGCCCTGGGGATTGAATTCAGGTTGTCAAGCTTCCTTGGTTAAGTATTTTTAGCCACAGATCCCATCCAGGAGGGCTCGAGCCTCATGATGTGATCATGCCTTAAGGTCCCATCTCCTCCTACCAACATCTTAGCATATGAATTGAGAGGTGGGGGCCACAAGGAATGCAATCACAGCAACGCTTTTTTCATGGATGCACACCAAGCACCAGTTTTAATTTCCACCCAACACCATTGAAATTTCATTCAGTCGGCCTCAGCGGATTTGAAATTCCCAGCAACCATTCTGGCCTTCTGCTGAGTCTCCCCTTCTCTGGAGAATCTGATCTCTCTCCAGAATCGCAGCTCTGCTTATACCTGGAGACTGAAACAAGTCCCCAGCACAGGGAGATATGAGAAGCCTGTTTACATTGCTGCAAGTGACATTTTCCTGAAACTCATTCCTGTCTTCCTAGACTCATTAAATGCTCCATGTTGCTAATGTTCTGCGTCCTGGCAATTTGCACGGCATCGCGGCACTTTGCACTCATTTTCCCAGAAATACTTGGTAAATATTACTACTGTTTGCCATGGATGTGGGCCCCAAGCAGGGATGCTTGGCGGTTTCTCTAGAAGCTTCTGCAAGGTTCCCCTCTCACCAAATATCTGTGGGTCTAGCAAGTGGCCTAGGGCATATTCTGAAGCCTCACAAGGCCTCACAGGCTGACAGCCATGGGAGCCGATGAATGAGAGGCACTGTCCTCCATGTGACCATTTTCTGGGTGCTGCCCTGTCTTAAAAATCCACAGCTGTATTCCAAAGGATGAGCATCACCTTAGATTTGGGGCTTTCCAGCTGACACAGTGGCACATGCCTTTAATCCCTGCACTTGGGAGACAGAAGCAGGTGAATCTCTGTGAATTCAAGGCCAGCCTATGTAGGAAGACTGTCTCAAACAAACAAAAGCCTTTGGCTGCCCATTCAGAGCAGTTACTAGGGTGGCCTCTTGCCCTGTAATGATCTCCTCTCTCAGGGCTTGACAGGAATCGACTTAAAGGATATTTTAGTTCACAATTCCAGGTTTCAGCCTGTTATAGTGGGGAGCCAATGCAGGAACTTGAAGAAGCTGGTCACATCACATCCACAACCAAGAGAGCACAGTGTAGGCACACTCATGTGAGTGCAGGCATGCATGTCACCACAGGCATGTGGAGGTCAGAGGACACTTTCGGCTGTTATTCCTGGCCTTCTACTTTGTAGACAAGATTTCTTATTCACTGCGTGTATGACTTGCACAGACTTGGAATACTGGAGACAGTCCCCAAAGAATTCCCTTCTAGGCTGGGCAGTGGTGGTGCACGCCTTTAACCCCAGCACTCGGGAGGCAGAGGCAGGCAGATCTCTGAGTTGGAGGCCAGCCTGGTCTACAGAGTGAGTTCCAGGACAGCTAGGGCTACCCTATCTTGAAAAACAAATAAACAAAAAGATCTCCCTCCTCTCCCTCCTTCCCTCCCTCCCTCCCTCCTCTCACTCTCCCTCCATCCCTCCCTCCTCTCCCTCCCTCCCTCCCTCCTCTCACTCTCTCCCTCCATCCCTCCTTCCTCTTCCTGCCTCCCTCCCTCCTCTCCTTCCCTCCTTCCTCTCCCTCCTCTCCCTCCCTCCCTCCTCTCCCTCTCTCCTCTCTCTCCCTCCCTCCTCTCTCTCCCTCCCTCCCTCTTTTCATTACTTCCTGGGTCAGGCTCTCACTATGTAACCATGGAACTTCTCATCTTCCTGCCTCCACCTCCTAAGTGCCAGGATTACCAGAGTATATCCTCATACCTGGCTTATGTGATGCCAAGGATCAGACCCATGGCTTCATGTCCTCTCCATGTGTGCTAAGCAAACACTGCTCACTGTGCCATGTCACTAGCCCCATGTGTTATTTCTTTAAAAGAGGAAACTTCTGTCTGCAGGAGGTTGCACTGGTCGCTGTGGACTCGCTCCATGGGACAGACTCTCCCGGAAGGCTGTCGTTAAGTGGCTCCCACATGAGGAACTCCATGGGTGGGGGACAGCCATCCTCTTGTTTTACTAGCTTGGGAAGCTCTGCCAGAAGCCTGGCATCACGTTTGCCCAGAACTGCCCATCCTGGGTTATTCTGGCAAGGTCTATCATCCTCATACAACAGGAAGCATCAGTAAATCACAGAGTCTCCAAGGGGCTATAGAGCTGAGGCGTGTGGTAGTCCTCTCCCACAGAAGCACACTAGGGGTGTCCTCTGGGGCACTGGCTGTGTGTCTCATCTGGACAGAGGTGAAGGGAACTGGAAAGGCTGCTGGCAGAGGATAATATAATGGCAGACCCCTCAGGATACTGTCTCTGGGCCACTGCCCTACTCATGTAGCCAGCAGAGGGGTAGGGTCTGGGTGTTGAGGGGAGAAACTTGAAGACCCCAAATATAGCCCAAAAGCCTGTTTAAGGACTTTCAGGTACCTGTGTGTCTCTGCTTCACAAATGCCTTGCTCCCCAAAGGCTCCTGGCATGTTGGCCGAGCCCTGTGTGTTCTGACCAGTCAGTTTAGCAGGCACAGGCTCTCTGGCCAGATGGCACCCTGCTGGAAGCTTCAAGTCCCCTTGATAACATGCACATTCAGCCTTTATTCTCTTCTCCCAGAGATTTTTTTTCTCCATCTAAAGTCATTCACCATTAAGTTAGATGCCTCAGGCTTGATTTCGGGGCTTGACAGCTAACATCTCACCCTTCATTCTAGCCACTGCAAAGGACTGCTTCTCCAGAAATGCCCTGTCAACTGAGTTTAGCAGAGTGCAAGCTGTGAGTGGTTTATTATTCTATGAGGTCACACCATGTGATGTTAGGCTTTTTTTTCTTTTTCTCTTCTTTCTTCTTTTCAAGGTCCTCAAGTTGACTTCAAGGTTACTAAAATCTCAATTCACTGATTCCAGGGCTGGATGCGCTTAATGGGGCTCAGCGGGATACCTACCAAGACCCAGGAGCCCTGGCCACCCTCCAGTCTAGAGTTAGGAGCTTGTGGTTAAACTCTCAGGCCCTCCCTACATCAGGTTTCCTAAAAGCATCAAATTCAGGCTCTATACAGGACAACATATCATCCTGAGGTGGCCACTTGTGGGATGGAGCTGGACAGGACTGGTCCCTCTTTGACTGTGGGTCTGATATATCATCTTCAACCTATTCAAGAAGGGAACCAGCCACGGACAACCTCCAGGCTGTTAGCAGACCACAGTGCCCCCTGCTGTCCACCATACCAGGAAGACTCTGAGGTCTCCTGCACAGCATTCTGTGAGTCTCATAACCCTCCTGGACACCATGAGACCAATCAGAAACAAGCCCTAGCCTCTAGCATGCTTCCTCCCACACTCCCTCACAACCCTCTCCCCATGTGCACCCGGGTGCTCCTGTGCCTCCACACACCCCTCACCTGCACACACCCCTCCACACACCCCTCACCTGCACCCACCCCTCCACACACCCCTCACCTGCACCCACCCCTCCACACACCCCTCACCTGCACCCACCCCTCCACACACCCCTCACCTGCACCCACCCCTCCACACACCCCTCACCTGCACCCACCCCTCCACACACCCCTCACCTGCACCCACCCCTCCACACACCCCTCACCTGCACATACCCCTGTCCTACATATATCTCAAGTTTTCTTCAAGCTGCTCCTGTTTCTTCCTCCTCTAGCTCTCCTTGGAACACTGTGGAAGCCAGTGTCCAGGTCCAAGGAAGCCAGCCAGAATAGGGTTCCTTCCTCCTGTACCCTACTTCCCAGTATACCAGTATAATCCTTGGATCCCCGCTCTGTTCCTTCTGATCCACTAAGAGACCCCAGGTAGAAAGACAGGGAGAGCTAAAAACAACAACAAAAAGGACCACGGAGAGGAGGGGGCTGGTTTTGCTTTGAATTCCACTCCATATACCCAGATGCTCGAGAGGAAAAGTGCTGGATGCCTTCCCCGACTCAACCTGGGTCTTGGGAACCTCTAAATCTTGCTTTAAGTCAACGAAAGCAAAACGCGCCATTTCCAGGAGCCTCTTTCCTGATGGTGCTGCCTCTGGAACTGGTGACCTGCCAGTCCTCCCCATGCTGTCACAGAATCACGACTGGCATGTGAGCGTGAAGACAACCTGTGGTGGGCCTTAAGTACCAGGACCTGGTGCCCCTTGTTTCGGTTAAAGATGCTGTTTGTTTATTATACACTGCCACCTACTGGCCAGTTGCTGGTCTTGCGCCCGAGTGAGTCTTGTAAAGCTACGATGGTGTTTCTAAAAGGGAGGTAAAGAAGAGACCTGGATTGCTCCACCTGCTTTGCACATGGACAAAAGCCTTTAGGTCTCTCTGGCTATTTGGTAAACGGAACTCATATACTCCAGAGCCAGGCCCTGTCTTGCCAGGCCTTAGAACCTCTGGTGCGAGATTAGACGGAGGGCTTCTAAGG